CTGGAGAACACAGCGTGAGCAGGTTGATTCGCAAGCAACACAGCCGCATAGCTGGCAACACGATGCGTCATGTGGTATCCTTGGACCCCGAACTAGCTAAACGACTTAGGGCACAACACGCAGCTTACTACTCCATGGGCAAGTCCTGGACCACTAGAGAAATGAAACTTCGGGTCAAGAGTTCTCTGCATAAAGGTTAAAGGTCTATTTGTCAGCATGATGGCGCGCAGTGGGCTAGAAGTCAGTGTCAAGAACACAGAACCGCTCACCAGCAGCGACCTGGTCTCGCTGGAGTTCATCGTGCGCCAAGGTTGTGGTACTTTGAGGCACCGCCGAATGGGATGAAGATGTCGAGCATGTTGCCAACTGCTCCACCCGGGACATCCTCAGAAAATTTCGGGTTGCCCCCCCCCCTACACCTTGAACCGAGAATCAAAGATTCGAAATTGTTCCAGAGCGTGGTTTAGGAGCGCGTCAACAATCGACGATTCTTAACCACATGCTTCGGGACATCTTGTGTCGACGGTGCTGTCTTTACAGAGAGCGGGGCTACACACGCTCACGCTCGTCCGTGGGCCCGCCAGCTGGGGCAGGATGTCTTTGCACTTCGGGAGCTCGAGTGGAAAAAACATGTGGGAATTGTGTCCAGGTCTGTTTGGTATTATTTTTTTATGGCTCCGGGATACTTATTAATCCCGATTGCGACGAACTTCGAGCTGCCTTTTTCGTCATATCAAACGACCCGCCCAGAGGATCATGCAGCAGGTGGAGGAGAGTCCGTGTGCCATCAACTGCTGGAGGACAGGTCCCCTTTCAGCACCAGGTGGCCCACAAAACATGCCCTCACGAAACACATCGCTAACCCGATCGGCGGCACGCACGGAATACTCAAGATTGCTCGGACCCGGGCTAAAACAAACAGGTGTCCCCTGTGTCACAGCACCTTCCAAGACAAGTTTGCCGCCACACATCACGTCGCTGCGAATCTTCGACGACAGTACTGCCCAACCAATCGAGCACGATTCGAAGATGAACTCATTGTACCAACATCGATGTCCTGCCAGTTATGCGAGGAAACATTTGAAGACATAACGCTCTGGTTCAATCGCGCCCGTGAGCACTGATCCCCGCTACTGCATCCAGTCTTCGGCATACGTGGACCACGTGGCAGTTTTGTTTCTGAATCTCGTTCGGGCAGCAAGCCAGTGGAGTGCAGCTGGCAGAAGTTTTTCGCCGAGAACTGGACTCCACAACTCACTGGACCCAAAAATGGGCGATGCCAAAGCGACGGACAAGAGCTGGCTAGTCAGAGATCTGTCCAAGAACTTCGCGGTCGGGGCGGGTTCCAAAGCCAAGGCAACCAGAGACGGATAGGCGGTCGGAATGGAGGAGGAGGAGGACAGAGAACTGGACATGGAGATGCTCTCCACCATGCAAGGTTGATTCTGCAACTCGAAGCTCAAGTCCGCCTCCTCGATCACGAACCTATGATCACAGCCGTAGTAGGGCGCAAACACCAGCTTGTGATCGACGGCGACAAGGCGTACCAAGAGTTCGTGAAAGCTTGCAAGGCCGACCCCTCAGTGAGCAGGGACCTCCAGACTCCAAAGTGGCCTACAGAGTTCTGTTCGTCTTTAAAGAGTGGTCCTTCAAGGACACCTCGGTACCACGCTCCATGATGGAGTTCGACATAGGAGTTGCTCATCGCCATGCAAAAAAACACTCCAGACCCGATGCCATCGCCATGTAGATCAAGGAAGCAGCAGTCTTCCCGATTTCCGACAAGCCAGGGCAGCCACAGAAGAGCAGGCTCTTATTCAAGCTCCTAGGACAGGTGCTGGTGCCAGGCGGCGAAGGCCAGCGACAATAACTACTGGCGGCGCCGCAGCAGGAAGTTCACCCAATATACGTCTCGAGTACACAGGAACTCCCGACAGCGCTGCTGCAGATCAAAAGGTGCCCTGTTCGAGGTCAGGCACAGCGGATGCAAGATAGCCATGATCAAACCTTCTCGCGGCAACCTCGTCCGTAAACCGATACCGAAGCGGAAATAGATCGACCAAGATGGCGCAATTAGAGATCAAGTCTTCTTGCTCTGGATTGGGTCTGTGCTAATTCCATACACGTACGCCTACGAAGCTGCGCGCTCAATGGTGGGTGCCTCCCAATGATTTGAAACACTTTGCCTTCCCCGCCCCTCGTCGCTCACTGCTGGACACCGTATTCCAGGCGTCTCCTGGCAGGGGAGTTCACGCGTGGCAACCACAAACACTGAATGCCGTGGTGAAGCTAGGTTGGCGGCGCTCCTGCCGCGCCTTCGATGTGCCCCCCCTTCGGTCTTGCACGCCGTCTAGGCTTCCCCGAGCGCGTCTGCAGATGCTGTGCCCTTCGCGCACAAGTCATCGATCGCGGGCTAAATTGGCTGCAGAGCTTCCGAACTGCGGCGGCGAGGCACTGCTTGCCGCCCGTCTGCAATATGAGGGCCTGGGTCAATGAGGACTCCCCGCTCGCCTCCCGATCCCTCGACCGCTTTCGTTGGCCCAGCGCGGCGGTGGGCCAGGCTCCCGTGCAGCGACCTCCCTGCTGCACGGTCATCTGCCACTCTTGCAGGTGCACGGCGCTCCGAATGGAGCTGCGAAGCAGAGGCCGTGACCACCTAAGGCCGTACTTATCCCCCCCCCCAGGTTCACGCCTGCGCCTCGAGACTTGCAGCCTGATCTGAACGTGTGAGAGTGAACGAGCTCCTCCCTTCGTTCCGAATTATATTCTCCTCCACCAGCTGCTGCTGCTGCTCCTCCTCCTCCTCTTCCGCCACGGTGCCTTGGGCCTCCCGCGCTACGAGCTTGAGAAGATCCGTGCACAAGCTGCCACTTGTTCTGACTATTGGAGCCCAGGTGCGTCCACGACTAGTGTCTTGCACGTTTTGGAGGAGGAGGAGGAGGAGGAGGAGGAGGAGAGAGGAGGAGGGGGGGAGGAGGAGGAGGAGGAGGAGGAGGAGTTCAACGACTACAGGGACGATCCTGTGTTTCGTCTCAGGGTGGTGCAACTCACTACCCTTGCTGAAGTGTGGCAGGCACTGCCCCCCCAGGCATCCGGGCAGGAGTGCGTCGAGCGTGGTCTCGCCTCGGCGATGGTTTCGCCTGGAAGTCTGCTGCCGAGCGGTGGAAACTCGTTCGTGGCCCGACTGCGGCTGTTTACGTCGCCCTTCTGGATCTGGAGTGGGTCCCTCGTGCCGCTGATGTGTGGGAAGTTCCTGGACAACCTCATTTCAGCTTATCCGATCCCGATTGTCGGTATCATCTCGTTCGGTGTGTGCAGGTGTGGAGTGTGGGGCGAAAACTGCTGTACATGCGTGTGCTCAAGGCCTTGAGCACGGAGCTGAGTGCAGTATATTTCGCCGTCTCCATCGCAGTCTCCTGCGAGATGGTGATTTCCAACGTGCAGCGATGCTCGTAAACATTGTTGTTGGATCGTGCTGGCCAAAGGGTCGTCTCCAGGATTCAGGATACGCATCTAACGGGGAGTGCCTAAGATGCGCCGACCAGAAGGAAGATACGAAACACCATTGTTGGAATTACCCGTGTAATGATCACATGCAGAACGCAGCTGTCGTGACTACTACCTTATTCCACAAGCTGATGCTGCCGCCCACGACTCAGCCTACTGGCCCCATGGATTACCCTCGTTGGCTAGCACCGTGGGCTTTGTGCCTGCCCCTGGCTCCTACGTGTGGTCCTGGGGACCCTTTGGGCCTCAGCAGGTTATCGAGGGTGGAGCCTGGGGACTGGATGGCTCTTGAGGCAAGCCTGCTCAAGATGATCGCTTGAGAAGGCGTGGACGGTTCGCGGTGCGTCTTGGGAAACCCCGTGCAGGCCAACCTCGTCTCAGTGCTGCATGGTGTGGTAGCCTCCCCACTGCCGGGCAATCTAGTCCGAGGGCAGAACTGCTCGCCCCCCTGGACCCGATGAACCGCAGTATTGGATGTCTTGAATGCTATACCGACTGCCTGCCTCTACGCCGTGCCATGTCTAAGTCGCGAGCTCACATGTCCCGGCACTCGCCCATGCTCGATCTGTGGGCTCGGATCTGGGATGCGATCGATCGGTGAGGTCCTGGCAGGATCACTGTGATGTGGACTGAGTCTCATGCGACTGAAGATGCAGGAACAAATCGCCATTGGGTCAGATGAATTGTTTCTGAATTGGTGTGCAGATTTCTTTGCAGGATGGGCTGCTGAATCGAAGGCAGTCCCTCCCCAGATTGTCCAGCAGGTCGTAGACCGTGATGTCCTTACCCACTCTGTCCTGTGTAGACTGCTGGCCACCAACATGGAGGTGGCCACCCAGTGCACGCGCCTGGCGGCTCATCGTGTCGGCCGAGCTGCACCCAGGCCCTGTTCTCTCTTTTCTCTCGGCACCAGGCAGGCCCGCCTTAGAGAGGCGGGGCACTCCTGTGCCAAGCGTGGTGAGAATTTGATATGTCAGGTTGTAATCGAAAATTGCTGTTGCGAGGTTCCTTGCGAAGGTTCCTCCCTGGTCCGTGCTCTCGCCCAGAAGTGTGGACCCTTGGGGCCCCATCTGGACCACCCTCTGTTTCCCAGGGCTCACGGCTCACATCAGTTAGCCGTGATGCGAGCTGTGCCCATTGTGAGGGCTATGGTGCATTCAATTCTGTGAACCTGAGCAGGCAATGTCCGACCCACCTCTCTAAGATTGGGGAGGATGTGCTCCGTCATTTGTAGAGGGGTTTGTCGCCCAAGAGCGGTGTCCCATTCCCTGATGTGTGAGTGTTCGAGCGTGCCCTCGCTTGACCAGGTCCCCACGGCCCCCCCGAACCAATCCTCCTCCTCCTCCTCCTCCTCCTCCTCCTCCTCCTCCTCCTCCTCCTCCTCCTCCTCCTCCTCCTCCTCCTCCTCCTCCTCTCCGTCTCATCCTCATCCTGGGCCTCGTCATGCTTCCTTCCCTTCCGGCACGCGGGAGCGAGCACAGCGGTCGTCCCACCATCTGCCTCGCGCGATTCTCCAGCTCCACCATGCGGATCTGCCGGCACCGCGCTGCACGGAGCGGGCGGGCAACCTCCACTTACCACCTCCATGTCCTCGTCCTCCTCCTCCTCCTCCTCCTCCTCCTCCTCCTCCTCCTCCTCCTCCTCCCCCTCCTCCTCCCCCTCCTCCTCCTCCTCCTCATCCTCCTCCTCCGCCTTGCATTTCATCCCTGCACCTCCTGCTTCTGCCTGAGAGCCCAGCATCGCGCAGCAACGTCATTACGAGCGCTGTCGTTTCTGAATCTCGGCGCCCGACGGTTTTTCCAAGGCCCTGTTTGGCTCCTCAAAGCACAGCACGCAACGAAACACAGTAGCAGGCACGAAGTCGAGAGGAATGTGGGCCACGTCGTGCAACAAATGCTGCCGAGAGTCGTGTCTTTCCCCGCGTGCCCCCTCCTCCTCCACCATGTGGGCCTGAGGTCGCAGGTTGCTACGAACACACAGAGCGAGCGCGGGCTGGCCAGAATAGGCGGGTGCGGGAGGGAAGGGCGAGCACGAGGACGAGTATCCCGAGTACACCTCGGGCGAAGAGCAAGAGGAGGGGCCCAGGAACGCGGGGCAGGGAGCACGACGAGGGGGACTGCAGTCCGCCGACCCCCGCTTGCCTGGGGTGAGAAGGCGTGTGAGATGATTGGGCGTCCCCCTCTCGGGGATCTTCTGACCCGGGTCAATCCAGACCCGGGTCAGCAGGAAACCCAAAACTGCAATGCAGGAAAACAAAAACTGCACCGCAGGTCTTCGCAGACCCGGGTCAGCCAATACGCGCGGCCGCCTCGCGGCCACGAGCGGCTCCCTAACCCGGGTCAGCCAGAGGGGGTCTTCGCAGGATCCTGCAGGATCTGGCGCCCTGGCTGACCCCCGTTTGCATTGACCCCCGTCTCAAGGCTCCCGACCCCTCCCCCTTTCCCCCTCCCCCGGGGTCCAAAGCCTGGTGTAGGGGGGGGGAGGGGCTCCCTGGCGCACCCTGGGAGACTCCGGCGCTCCCAAATCTGCCTTCCGTGGCTTCAAGAACATCCCAAGACGGTCCAGATCGATGGACGTTGGGCCCAGGACGCCTACGATGGCTCCAAGACGCCCCAAGACGCCTTCGAGACGTCCCAAGCGAGGCCCGAAAGCCTTCCCAAGAGGGCCCCGAGAGGCAAAATCAATGTGTCCCATCGGTTTTCCATTGTTCCTGGCGTTATCGCCGTCTCGAGCTTCCGACGCTCTAAGACGGCCCAAGATTCTCCGCAGACCGCCCCAAAACTGCCAAAGATGCCCCTACGAGGTCCCAGGGACTGCCCAAGAGGGGTCCATGACGGACCAAAGAGGGTCCCAAGACGGCCAAGAATCGCCTTAAGAAGGCCCCAAGAGAGGTCAAGAGAAAAACCACGAACCGAAGATCCGGTCTTTCTGCCCCGAGAGGCCCCCCAAAGGCTCCAAGAAGCCCCCAAACGGCCCAAAAGAGGCCCCCGATAAGCAGCAAGATGCCCGCAAGAGGCCCCAAAACGGCCCCTTAGACGCGTCAAAAGTGCCCAGCAGACGGATGCGAAAGTTTCCTTAAATCGTGACTGGGGCGTGCGTGACCTGTGTGACGGGCCAAACGCGCTGGGGCGTGGGCCAAGTGGGCAAGTGTAACACGTTGGAACGAACGAAACGCGCCAGGGCCTGGGCCCTGTGGGCAAATTTGGGGCCCGTTGTGACACGCGGTGCGCGCTAGGGGTGGGGCCTCGTGGGCATCTGTGACCCGTTGTGACGGGCTGAACGCGTTGGGGCGTGGGCCCTGTGGGCAGTTTGTGACCTGTTGTGACGGGCAGAACGCGCTGGGGCGTGCACCCCAGAAATCAGCTTTAACGAAACAAGTCGCACCTGTCTGAAGGGACTCCGCCAGGCTCCCCCACAAAACCCAAGAAGTCCACAAGAGCCTACAGTTAGTGTCCAAGAAGCCCACGACGCCTCAACTGTGGACTCGTCCCCTCGTCGTGGGGGGCGGCCGAATGGCGTACACGCCGGTCGGAAGAAGTAGGTAAAAACATGAAGTAAGAGGGCGGATAACGTAGATTGGGATCGTGCCCGCCCAAAATATAACAAACAACAACCTAAGCATATCGACTCTTGAAGTAGGAAGGCGCTTTGACAAGATTGGGTTTTGGGAGTCCATACAGCACATCCCTACTTTCAACGACCGGCGCGTAAGGCCCCTGAATAGTCCGTCCTGCGCTGCTGCTCCACATGCAGGCTCTGATGCCAGCGCCGCTCGAGAGGCTGCACCCGACGAGGGCAGACGGGAGGAGCGGCGCCCCCTGGCCCGGGCAATGAAAAGCATGAAAGTGGGGGCTTCGGCTTGCCAAGGGGGGTCCTAACATTCCCCGAATCGGAGCTTGCCTCTGTAGGGCTCCTAGCGGATTCATATGGTTAGGTGCGGTTTGGCGCCGATTTCGGCGGCATGCCCGGGTGCCCGGGTGCCTGGGTGCCCAAGTGCCCGGGTGCCCTATCGTCCTATCGTCCTATAGCCCTATAGCCTTATAGCCCTATAGCCCTGTTGCCCCATAGCCTTATAGCCCCCAAAAAATATGATTGGGGCATTTCTCCGGTATCATATTTTTATTTGCGTCGGCGGCGAAGCCAAGGAAGTCTGCGCTAGCGGAAACGCCTGACCGGGGGTGCCGCTATGGCGAATTGTGCCACCATGCAAGAGGGGGAGCAGGAGGAGGGCGCGGCCGAAAGAGGGGGCGAGTCAGCCTCGCGCACCTGCTTCTTGTGCACATGTGAATGCAAGCGCCACCCGACGCGTCAGAGTGCACGTCCCGAGGCAGCCGCGCCGGCAAAAACAAGGGTCAAGGAGGAAAAACTGGTCGCGCACGCGGAAACAGATATTGGAGAGTCGCAGCCCGCTCGGCACACAACGCTGAATGTAAACAGGCCGTGACCTGTCATTATCATCCCGCAGCCCCCCGCCAGACCGCCCGCCCAGGCCAGCGGCGGGCGGCTGGACACCGCGCGCGAAAGCGCGGGGCAGAATTGTGCGCACGAGACGCGCGACTCGCAAGGCGAGGGCGGGGGGGCCCGCCCCCCCACCCACCCGGGCCAGCGGCGGGCGCATGGTGACTGCAAGCCAAGCCGCGCGGCGAACTAGCGAGGACGGCGCGCGCGGGACAGGGCGTGGCGCCAAATGGAAATGGGTCGAAACGTAAACGGTAAAACGCGGCGACGCCACGCGTCGCGCCTGGGCCAAACGGACGAACTGGAGGCTCGCGCCTGGATATGGCGGACTTCGCGAGACGACGGCGGCGGGGCCCCCCGCCCAGCCACCCGCTCGGGCCAGCGGCGGGCGCGCCGAGACACGCCCTGATCGCACCGCCCCCGCTGCTCCCTTCAGGACAGATTGAATTTCCTTGCGCGTCGCGCGCCCCCCCCTGCTGCGTCGTAGGATGGAGGCCCCAGGAGGCGCTAGGAGGTACCCGGAGGTACCGCGAGACACCAGGAACACCCAGGAAACACCACAAGGCCACAGGCTCCAGAAGGCTCTAGGAAGTCGCAGGAGGTCCCAGGAGGCCCTCAGAAGCACCATAAAGCACCAAGAGGCCGCAGGAAACCCCAGGAGGTCCCAGGAGCCAGCATGAAGCCACAGGAGGCACTGGGAGGCCCCAGGAAGCCCCAGAAAGCCCGAGGAGGCCTCAAGAGGCCCCAGGAAATTTTAGGATGCCCCAAAAAACCCAGCAGGCAGGCCCTGGCCGCAGTGGCCTGGTGCGCTGCCGGCGTCAGTTGGGCAGCCTGTCGGTGGCTCTGGTGGTGTCCTCTGGATCTGCGTGGTCGCCACGGGATGCTGGCGAGTGTCCGAAGGGGCCCGCCGGAGGAGGCGCGCGCGGGTCCATGCCTGCGACCACCCAGGAACGTCGCCAGAAAACCACATCCAAAAACTTGTCGGTATTTTGTAGTTCCCAAGACAATATGTAAAACATCGGATGGCTATTGGATGAGAGAACTGATTGGATATGTAGAAAAAACTGCGGCGGCCTCCAGGGGAAAGTTTTTGGATGAAGCCCGCCCCCCCAGAGGAATTTTTTGCATGCACGCCGGGGGCTCCCTGGGGAAGCTTTCGGATGAAAGCCGGGGCGCCCCCATGGGCAGTTTTTGGATGCCCCCCGTCGCGTGCGAAGGTGGGCGTGGGCTACAGTGTTCCTTGTCCTCCTGGGTATCCTTCTCCTCCCCCTTCGTTATCCTCCCTCGTCGTCCTCCCTCGTCCTAATGTTCATTCCCCTCGTTCTGCTCCCTCGTCCTCCTCCCTCCTCGTCCTCCGTCCTCCTAGTGTTCCTCCATCGTTGTCCTCCTCCTTCCTCGTCCTCCTCAGCCTCCGCCTCCTCCCTCGTCGGGATCCCCCTCCTCGTCGTCCTCATTCGTCGTCTTCGCCCTTTTTCGCCCTTTCCCCCCTCTTCCTTGCTCGGGACCCTCTCGAGACACCCCTCCAGTGCCCCCTGCGGCACGTCGGGTGGGCCTCCTACTCCTCGGCCCCCTCCTCAGTTGCCTGCAAGGGCGTGCTGCCGCAGGCGCGGCCACGCACGTTGCGCACGCAAGCGCGCACGCCCTCCCCTCGACGGCCGACCATCCTGAACGCACCGCGTATCCGCGCCAGCCCGCGCAAGCGATCCCGAAGTGAACTACCGCGCTCAGGGGGGCGCGGCGGCGACCAGCACATCAGCAAGCCGTGAGCAGGTGGAGGAGGAGGAGGAGGAGGAGGACCTTTGACCTTGCTCTGGTGGGCCTTCCCTGATGGACAGGGACCCTCGGTCAACATCACCCTCTCGCAGGGAACTGCATCCCGCTCTTCGGCGGCAGCCCTCTGGAGAGCCTTGACAAAACGCTCAGCCCCGCTTTCGTGGGAGGCCGAGGCGGCGTGAGAGTGGGGGGGCATTGCCCAGCGAGGAGCTGAGCAGTGTCGACACAATACCTCCCGCACACCGTGCAATACAACACTCCTCTGAGAACGCACAGATGATGAGAAGAGTGGGCCTTGGGG